CAAGCAAGCAAAAAAAACCAAACAAACAAAACAAAACAAAACAAAAAACCCACACACATTTAAAATAACAAGAAAAGCCTGAAAATACCTTCCCCATATTACAAAAGGAAAAACGGTAACATCATCGAAGAGGAACTCTGGCAGACCCAAGGAATCAGTTCCTGTCACAGACACCATGTCGTCTAATCTGATGCCCTGAGGAAGGCGTGGTCACTGGTACCATTCCCCAAAGTGCATAATCATCGTTCTCACCAGAGCACAGGCAAGCTCAGACTGAGACATGTCACCAGCACCCTTCAAAGGTGCCAAGGTACTGAGAAATAAGGAAAGACTAGCAATTGTGACAGATCAGAGGAACCCACAGAGAGAAGAGAAGGAAATGCAATGTGGATCCTGGACTACGGCCTGGAACAGAAGGCAGGCATTGGGAGGGATAAGCCTGGTTCAGGTGCACTGGTGTTGACCTCATCTTCCTATGATAGTCTCGATGGGGTTCAGACAACATCAGTAGCAGAACTTACAAAAGGAATAAGAGATCTTTGCTGTTCTCGTAACCTAAACAGTTAAATTTTTCAGAATAAAGTCAAGAACATGAAGTGGCCCCACAGTACTCCCTGCATTCTTCCCAATCCCACTTCTCCCACACCCCCAAGGACACACTCTAACTCTGTAGTGCAGGCTGGCCCAGCTCACCCTATAACCCAGGCTAGCTTTGAACTCAGTAGCTTCTTTCCTCTGCCTCTAGACTGCTGTGATTACAGGACAGTATACCATGCTTGTGGGTATGTATATCTAGATAGATAGGTAGATAGATAAACACACACACACACACACACACACACACACACACACACACACACACTCTGAGTGAATGAATGTAATTTTAAAATGTGATAAATAAATGAAGTAATCATTGTAAGTACTACTAGGGAAAACCAATGTAGAAACTGAATGATTATCCTATGTATGTATGTGCGTGCCTGCCTGCCTGCATATATGTGCACAATGTTTGTGTAGACGCTCTCTGGGCAGAACACGGTATGTATGTGCCTGCCTGCCTGCCTGCATATATGTGCACAATGTTTGTGTAGACGCTCTCTGGGCAGAACACTGTATGTATGTGCGTGCCTGCCTGCCTGCATATATGTGCACAATGTTTGTGTAGACGCTCTCTGGGCAGAACATGGTATCATATCTATTGGAACTGGAGTTACAGGCGATTGTGAGCTGACAAGTGAGTGCTGGGAACTGAACCTAGGTCCTCTGCAAGAATAGTAAATATGCTTAACCTCTGGGCCATTTTGCCAGCAAAATTGAAGGATTTTATGAAGCTGTCAGAACTGTGAGAAGAAAACACCCTGAACCTTCTCCCACATACCCCCAAGTGACATTCTGGGGACCCCCCCCCCCCCCTCCATTTATCCATTATTAACTGCACAGGGAGAGATACTTTACTCAGAGACCTCGCTCCAAACATCACCACCTCTTCTGGAGTCGCCTCCGACAATTCCTGGCAAGGCATATCTCACATGGTCAGGATGCAGGACGGTGGCCAGGAAATCGGTAGTGTGTCCCCCAGTCTATCTGAATCTTCCAGGGACCGAGTTTTACCAGCATTACAGCCAGCAACAGGATTTTACTGGAAAAACCCAAGAAACCACATCTTCCAGGCCATGCCCTTTCTCAAATTCGCTCGGTGGACTCTCCAAGCAGGGGCTTGAAAGCACAGCAGGCCTTGTATGTATTTCCTCTGGTCACCTGTCTTGCTTTCTAATTCTAACTCACTGTACACCACGGCTTTCATCAGCACATGGCGTCAGGCTGCTGTGATGGAAGCGACCCTGCTGAGAGCTAGGATACACCCACATGTATACGAAAGTCCCAATGCTCCACAGTGCTCTTGTCCCAGCCGGAGCATGGCTGAGGGGCTGCCTCTTGAGTCTCGGCATCTTTGGGAGATTCCCAACCCTAACTTATGGGAAGGTGAGGGTGGGACATACATGGAAAGGGAAATGCTTTTCATGATGTTCTTTTGGCACCGTGTTGAAGGTTCATGACCTAGGCAAGGACACAGATCCCAGGGAACGGCCAAAGATCAGATGGGTGCAAAGGAGGCACCTTGAAACCTTCCGTGTGCCTTGGAGCTGACATTTTCATGACATGGTTTCTTGTTCATACTTCTGTTTAGAAAAATAAAATTGAGCGGGGAGTGGTGGCACATGCCTTTAATCCCAGCACTCAGGTGGCAGAGACAGGAGGATTTTTGTGAGCTCAAGGATGGCCAGGTCTACATAGCTAGTTCTGGGACAGCCAAGGCTACATAGAGACCCTGTCTCAAAAAGAAAGAAAAAGGAGGAGAAGGAGGAAGAGGAGGAGGAGGAGGAGGAAGAGGAGGAGGAGGAGGAGGAGGAGGAGGAGGAGGAGGAGGAGGAGGAAGAAGAAGAAGAAGAAGAAGAAGAAGAAGAAGAAGAAGAAGAAGAAGAAGAAGAAGAAGAAGAAGAAGAAAGAGAAAAAGAGAAAGAGAAAACTGAATGTGAATGTCCTGCTCCTCTGCATTTCAGGCACAGCCTTCTGATGGGGCTCTGTGAAGGCTATCACATTGATACATGGGGAAAGTTGAGAAGTTAGAGCTCAGATGGTGATTGCTCACCCCTCAGCTCCTGCACTTCTGTAGCCCTGCATGGAAAGGATCCCTGTGTGCTCACTTCGCATAGACATGCTAAACTCATACAGGGGATGACCCTGGGAGCTGCCGCAGTAAATGAGCTACACTTTTCAGTGCTGCTCCGTGACTAAAGCAGAGACAGCTGTTCAAGGGGTCCCACAGGGAGAACAAGGCCCCAGCAAATGCTCTGTGGTGCCCCCCAGCTTTCCAAACCCTAATAAGCACAGAGGAGCTGCAGATCCACCATTCTGCAAAGAAACGGGGTGCTTCCCTTGAGCCAATTCCAGCTGTGTCTCTTTTGCTAAAAACTTCCCAGATCAGCCTGGCGGTGGTGGTGCACGCCTTTAATCCCAGCACTCACCTGGGAGGCAGAGGCAGGTGGATCTCTGTGAGTTTGAGGCCAGCTTGGTCTACAGAGTGAGTTCCAGGACAGCCAGGGCTGTTACACAGAGAAACCCTGTCTCAAAAAAAAAAAAAAAAAAATCAAACCAAATAAACAGAAACATTCCCAGATCCACTGCTTGTCTGGGACAACCCAGGCAGAGTTTTCTGTATTGGAATCCCTGGCTCTTGATTTCACAAACCCATAGCACAGAAGTCTGGAAGTGAGGGCCAATCCAAGAGTATTTCAAGACACCCTGTGTAGGCCACACACATCATTAAGGGAGGGTGACCACAGAGCCCTGAATCAATCCCTAGAGAAAGCTCCCAGGATGCATGTGTGCCCCACTTTATTCTGAAAAAGGCGGGAGAATGTGCCTGAGGTACCCTATCTGACCACACCCTGTTACAGGCAACAGCCTGGACCAACTTGATCCTGTATATCAGGGCCTGAGCACAGTCATGTAGCAGAGGTGCCTGTGCAGCTCCTGAACCCAAAGAAACTGTCACCAACATTGTGGGTGTGTAAGTAGGTAGGTATGGAGGAGGACACATGAGGATAGATGTTCACAGCAGGAAAAAACACCAGGCCAAGGTTCAGAACCCACCCTCAACGAGGTCTGCCAACAAAGGAGGGGCCAATGCCCTGTCACATTCTCTCTCTTGACTTTTGGGTGGGCATGTGCTGTGTGCCATCATCTTTAGATGCTGTGGGACACGGTCCATTCCTTCCTCTCCCTTTCCACCTGCTTCTGCCCAGATGTGCCTGTTCCTTGACTCTACCCAGCACATCTGTATTCCATCCATCACTAGACCAGGACTCTAGGGAGAGGACAGGAAGTACTCCTCACATCCACTCATCCTGGTGCTTTTTAAAACCTGGCTTGTGGTCACTGAGCCCAGAGCCACAGAGAGGATTTTTTTTTTTAAGACTAAAACATATAATTAAAATCTCTGTTGGGTTTTGGGGACAGTGCAGGGCGGCTCCCCACCCCTTCTTTCCGGAAACACAGATTTTTGGCATTTGAAAGTGACAAGCGGCTGAAGTGAGGCTACCCTAAATATACCATCCTGAGCACATCTGTGCAGCTGGGGCACATATCTTATTCTAAACCCTTGGCCTTTACCATAGGGAGCAAGGTCAGCTTCTAGCCCGAGCTCCTCCTCAGCTGTCACCCTAGACTGCCATTACCTTCACCCCCAGCGGGTCCTGCAGGGAACCTCTCAGACCACATGGTTCCCACTGGCACAGCCTTGCTCGCAGACCTGGATTCCAGCCAAACCCACTGCTACGCCCAGCAGCCATGGTCTACAGACAACTCCCCGCTGCCTAGAGCATGCTTGGCCACTGCCAAGACGCCTTCTTGTCCATCATTTCAGACGTCACCATTTCCTCTTGCATTCTGCCTGTCTCTTCCCTTTGTCCCCTGGTTGATGGCACAGGGTGTCCCTCCCTGACCAAAGGTCCTTCAGCGGCCGACTTTGTAATGTGGCCTGCACTCTGCACATCCCTCATCCAGGACATCGAGGGAAATTCAAACAGAACTGACAGCTCAGCTCAGCTGTCAGATCTGAGCCCCCCTACCCCACCCTCTCATTAAGGGCAGGCTCTGGGTGTCCTCTGTCCCACTGAAATTCAGCCAATTATGTCCCTGTAGACAGGGTTTTACCCTGGAACTGTGATAATGTTCTGCCGTGGGACCAATGTCCACCTTGCCATTGGCTCGGGAGCTCTGAGAGAAGGCATTTGGATTCACTGATGGGTCCAGGGACCTGCTGAGCACATGCTGAGTTTCCCTCTATACCACCTCCTGGGGCCTGGTGTGCTCCCAGAGCAGACCGCAAGCCTGTGCGTAGAGCAGGAGCGGGCCCCACTCAGGCTGCCTGGGGTCCTACTCCGAGCACAAGCCATCCTGGATCCTGGTGGTGACCTCACTCCCACTTTGTCTTTCAGTGGAGCGAGACCGAACCCTGGACCACCAGGAGCCACACTGGAAGGAATTCCTCTTTGACCTAACCCAGATCCCTGCTGGGGAGGCTGTCACAGCTGCTGAGTTCCGGATATATAAAGAACCCAGCACCCACCCACTCAACACAACTCTCCATGTCAGCATGTTCGAGGTGGTCCAGGAACACTCCAACAGGTACCTCCACTCTGCCCAGATGCCCACCTCACCTCACGGTCTCATGGCCTAGGCTCTGGCGGGGCCTGTCCAGAGGGGGCATTTCCAAGAAAGGAAAGGGGCGCCTCCTAGGAGAGGTCCTGAGACGTGAGAAAAGGGCTTGGCCTGGAACTCCCTGCCCTGCCACTATGACTGTGGAGCCCTCAATAGGCCACAGTACCGAGCCACTGAGCCAGTGTCCCCATCAGTAGCACACGGACACAGTAAAATGCCAGGGGTTGGTTATCAGTGGACTGTGGCACCAAAGGAGGCCAGTCTAGAGTCAAGCAGGGAAGAAGCTCTGAAAGAGGACCCCAGGAAGGCACAAGACACAGGCAGCCGTGCGGACCTCAGCCCTTGGTTAATTGTTCTTTCATGTCCACAGGGGGTCTGACTTGTTCTTTTTGGATCTTCAGACGCTTCGATCTGGGGACGAAGGCTGGCTGGTACTGGACATCACAGCAGCCAGTGACCGATGGTTGCTGAACCATAACAAGGACCTGGGACTCCGCCTCTATGTGGAAACCGAGGATGGTGAGGCTCCAGGGCTTAGCAGGAAGCTGCCCCAGGCGCGGTGGGAGGTGGTTCCAGCCGAGGCTGCCAGCCCAGTTCACGGAGCCCTCTCACTGGACCATGCTTGGCCTCTCTTGAGGACTCAGTGGGTAGAGTGGCGAGGTCCTGGACAAGGGGAGGCCCTAACCAGGATTGCCTTCCTGTCCCTCCTACATTACAACTGACATCCTGAGAACCAGCTCTGGTACCGATGGAAGTGGTGGGGGTGGAGGGTGGCGCTTCTCCAGGGGCAGCAGGCCTCCACTCAGAGAGATTCTGCAGTAGGAAGGAGGCGTAGGGGATCTGCACCCCAGGTTCTGAGTGCAGAGGCCTGGGCTGTCCCTGCTCTGCGGTGTTGGAACTCAGTTTCGTGTCTACAAAGGTTTATATTCACTGCTTCACTCGCAGGGTTTTCCCGGGACATTTCCTTCATGTCGGCAGTGAGGACAGAAAGGACAGCAGGACAGGAGACTGGCCTGTCCCAGGTCCAACAAAAGGCTGGAGGGATAACGGGAAGGAGAGGGCAGAGAGGTGGCAGGGGTCACTTTGAGTTAGGGAAAACTGGCAAAGTGCTTGGAGAGTTTAGAGCAGTTTAAAGCAGTGGGTGACAGATGTGACTGTGGTTTTAAAAGACTAGGCTAACTTCAGCCCCTCCAGTAGGGGATCCTAACCACGCCCCCAGGTGAGTTCTCCTGGGTACCATGGGGCCCCAGAACTCACTGCCAGTTGTCAGCAGCATTTCCAAGGGTTTCCAGTGTCTGTCCAAGGCTCTTGCCAGACAGGCCAGAGGCAGGGATGGCCAAGGGTGTCCTCAGCCAGTGAGACCCATGGCGATCCCAGTCGGTGTCCTCCCTGCTCTATGACGCAGCGCAGAGGCGGCGTAGGGCAGGCTCACAGGGTGCATCTGGCCTTTCCCTCTCTGTCCCGGTCCTGGGAACCGCGTGGCCCGTGGACCATGGCGGCGCTGAGGCTTCTGGCGTGGGCGCTCCCGCGCGGGGTCTCCGCCCGCCGCCTACAGCCCGCGCTGCCCCACCGCCTTGGCCTCCGCTTTGCTAGCGACCGCTGCGGGCGTGTCCGCTTCTACAAGGACCCCGTGAAGGCGGTGGAGGGCGTCAAGGACGGCTCGACCGTCATGCTCGGGGGCTTCGGGCTCTGCGGCATCCCCGAGAACCTGATCGGCGCACTGAAGACCAAGGGAGTGAAGAACCTGAAGATCGTCAGCAGCAACGTGGGCGTGGATGACTTCGGCCTGGGCATCCTGCTGGCCTCCAAGCAGGTCACGCGCGTGGTGTGCTCGTACCTGGGGGAGAACGCTCTGTGCGAGCAGCTGTACCTGGCGGGCGAGGTGGACCTGGAGATGACGCCTCAGGGCACCCTGGCCGAGCGCATCCGCGCAGGTGGCGCCGGCGTGCCCGCCTTCTACACGCCTACCGGCTACGGCACGCTGGTGCAGGAAGGGGGCGCCCCCATCCGGTACTCGCCCGACGGCCACCTGGTCACCCTGAGCCAGCCGCGGGAGGTGCGCGAGTTCAACGGCCGCCACTACCTGCTGGAGCACGCCATCCGCGCCGACTTCGCCCTGGTCAAGGGCTGGAAGGCCGACCGCTCGGGCAACGTGATCTTCCGGGGCAGCGCGCGCAACTTCAACGTGCCCATGTGCAAGGCCGCGGACGTCGCGGTGGTGGAGGTGGAGGAGATCGTGGACGTGGGCTCTTTCGCCCCGGAGGACATCCACATCCCCAACATCTACGTGGACCGCGTGATCAAGGGGCCGAAGTACGAGAAGCGCATCGAGCGCCTGACCACGTGCGACAGCCCGCCCTCGACCATGGACAAGAAACAGGCCGAAGCCAGGACACGCATCATCAAGCGCGCGGCTCTCGAGTTCGAGGACGGCATGTATGCCAATCTGGGCATCGGGATCCCTGTTCTGGCCAGCAACTTCATCAGCCCCAAGATGACGGTCTACTTGCACAGTGAAAACGGGATCCTGGGCTTGGGACCGTTCCCCTCGAAAAAAGACGTGGATCCCGACATCATTAACGCGGGCAAGCAGACAGTGACCGTGATTCCCGGGGGCTGTTTCTTCGCCAGCGATGACTCTTTTGCCATGATCCGCGGGGGACACATCCAACTGACCATGCTCGGTGCCATGCAGGTTTCCAAATACGGTGACCTGGCCAACTGGATGGTGCCAGGCAAGAAGGTGAAGGGCATGGGCGGGGCCATGGACTTGGTGTCCAGTGACAAGACCAAAGTGGTGGTCACCATGGAGCATTGCACCAAGACAAAGCAGCCCAAAATCATGGAGAAATGCACCATGCCGCTGACCGGCAAGCGCTGCGTGGACCTCATCATCACCGAGAAGGCTGTGTTTAGTGTGGACCGGAAAAAGGGGCTGACGCTGATGGAGCTGTGGGAGGGCTCGTCGGTGGACGACGTCAAGGCCACCACAGCCTGCCCCTTTAAGGTGTCCCCCAACCTCAAGCCCATGCAGCAGATCAAACCTGATGCTTGAGGAGCCCTGACCCCCGCCCCCTCCCTCCAGGGCTGATTTGCGAAGGAGTTAGCGACCACAGGGGACATGCTGAGCAGCATCACCTGGCCAGTGCACCACTGGCTTCTCGGGCTTCCTGATGCCAGATGGTATCTTCTCAAGAGCCGAGTGATTTTAATTAAAATTCCTAAACTGAGCCTGTGTGTCCTGTGCCTAACTAAAGCCCTCCGCTACAGCCATGGAGGAGACTGGTCTCCGTCCCTCACTTTCTGTGACCTTCACATACAAGGCTCCAGAGTGCCCCCTGACAGGTCTCAACACCAGTGCTGCTCCTCATAACTGAATCATGAAACGCAGAGGCAAGCATAAAGGCGGGAGGAAATCCAGAGTTCACCCGGTGCCACTTTACTGCTGCTGGGGAATGCAGAACTGCAGATCTGTGAGCAGGACGAACACTCTGGCTTCTCTTCCTGGACCTTGTTTCTGTTCCTAATTTTGTTTCCCTGAATCTGCCCGCTCCCGACTTCCTCCTGGGAGCTGCTTAGGTGTCCACAGAAGAGAGGCAAGGCCTGTTTCCCGTGGGATGAAACTGAGGGAAGATGGTTGGTACTGGTATTCCACCTGAAAAACCATTGTACATAAACAGTCCCAGCGTGTGTCGGAAGAGGCCTGGGCTTAGCACAAGTGGAGTCTAGAATCTAATCAATGTCATGGATGAGTTCTTACCTAGTAAACATCAGCGTCTCCTGGTGCCCATACCACACTGACATTCTGTTCCGGAAGTCCAGCAGGCCTCCCCTCCTAACCCCAATGTGGCAGCTCTGGGGTCTCTCATTTTGAATTTGTAATCTCGTGATGGAAGTGAAGAAAGTTATAGAGGGTGTGTGGTTGTGTGTGTGTGTGTGTGTGTGTGTGTGTGTGTGTGTGCGCGCGCGCACACACGCGCGCGCACGTTGAGGAAGCATGCCTCCCATCATGCTTTTCTGTCCAGAGCTGGGAAGCCTGGTGGCCTTCTACCAGAGGGGTCCTAGCTGATGATGGGGTCAAGGAGCAGAGCTGTAGGGAAGGTGCGCTCTGGTTTGGGCAGTGAGCAGCTTCTCCAGGCCTATCAGATCCAGAACTCTGAGAAGAGCAGCATCAGTCCCTCTGGGCTTCCGCTCCAGCTCACTGGGTCTCTGCCTTGTGCTGGGCAGGGTAGGAGTTGCTTGGCTCTGCAGCTGCTTGCTCCAGGCCTTAAACAGTTGATGCCGTCTCTGGTCTTAGTTTGTGTGCCTGTAAAACGGGAACCTTGACTTAGCTGCATCCACGGGTTCTCAGTCCAGCTCCCCTTGCCTTGAGAGCCTCCAGAGGTCTCTAGCACACTTGCAGGCTAGCTTTGAGGAATTCAGCCAAGGACTGCTCTGTCCAGCCGAGCCTGGAAGACCAGTGACATCAAAGGAAAACAAGTGTGCCTCAGCCTGGAACATGGACGGCCTCTGTGTTCCAAAGCAGCCGGGGCTCTGGGACTCCACGGGGCCTGTCCCGGGTCCCAGCCTGCCCCTTGTGTCACTCATAGGGCCGCCACTGTGGCTCTCACCACCCTTCCTGCTCACAGCTGCTCCATCCTCCCATGTGTGGCCCTGGGGCCTTCCCTATCTTTCCCTCTGTGCCTGAGGCTCTGCCCCCTCACAGCACCTGCTTCCCCAACGTCTTCACTCTGGGCCCCACTCTTCCTGCATGACCTCATCTGAGTCTCTTCTCAGGGCCAGCCTGCAGCCCCACAGCTCTCCGCCTCGGTCCTGGGATAGGGTCTCATGAGCCTAGCACATTTCTTAGTGGCAGGTGAAGTCATAGGTCAAAGGCTGGAATGAGTTTTCTTTCAAGTGCCTGGTGGACATCTGGTGTGCAGTCCAGCTGCTTGAAGGGCTGACCTTTGAGTGGACTGTCCGCCACAGGCAGACAGTGGCCTTGACTCCATGTGTAATGAAGGGCCTGGTAAGAGTGCAAGTGGAGCAAACAGACTTGAGTGTGCCCATGAGTGTGTTCTGTTTCGTTACAGTTTTGTGTGGGGATTTTATCTAAGGCTTTGGCTTACTAGACAGGCGCTCTGCTACTGAGCTGTGGCCTCGCCCTTCGGGTTCTTTTACATTTCTTCCAGCACTGGGTGGAACCTGGGACATGGAGCATACTAGTGTCTGAGATTTTATATATGCACATACATGCATGTACATGTGTGCATCGGTGCTTGTAACATGTCAGCTGAACATCAGTACTGTGTTTAATGATCTATAAAGTGAGCATTGTTGGGTTTTGGTGTAAGGAATCTCACACAGGCACAAAGGGAAGAGGTTCTGAGTCCTGTCCTGACTCCAGAAAGGAACCTGACTGCCTGGTGGGAGGTGAGCCCACCCAAAGCCAGCTGCTGCGTGTGCATGGTTATTGTGGACAACTATTCTAACAATGGGAAAGGTTTGCAGTGCTAAGGCCTGTTACAACTTAAACCAACAGAACAGAAGAAGCCCAGATATGAAATGGGAGCTCTGGAGTTATGGAGGGAATTTATGGTTACTCTTCCTTCTTGAAAGTTTTTTACCCCTCTGTGGTTGTTATACTGTTTGCCCATTTTTATTTGGTTTGATTTGGTTTGTATTTTTAATTTTTAGTTGTTTGTAAGGTTGGTTGATTTTTTTCTTTGAGACAGCCTTGGTGGGTCTGGAACTCACCTATGCAGACCAGGCTAGCCTCAAATTCATAGAAATCTGCCTGCTTCTGCTTCCCGAGTGCTGGAATCAAACGCATACACCACCATGCTCAACCTTATTTGTTTTTTGAAACAGGCTTTTATATGACAGGCCTTGACTGACCTCCAACTCAATATGTAGAGTGGAATGACCTTGAATTCCTCATCCGCCTGATCTCTGCCTGAATGCCGGGTTGCAGGAGTGTGCCACCACACCAGCTTAACACACTACTTGTGCAGTAGAAAGGGCAGGGCGGGACTGGAGAGTTGGCTCAGGGGTTAAGAGCACTTGTTGCTCTTCCAGAGGACCTGGGTTCAGTTCCCAGTACCCACATGATGGCTAACAACCATCTGTAACTCAAGTCGCCCTGCATGCATGTGGTTCACAGACATACATGTAGGCAAAACAACCATACACATAAAATAAAAAAGAAAGAAAGGGCAGGGACCACTGACAGGGCCACCAGCAAAGCCGGAGCTGGTGGTGGAGGCTTTGCTCTCCTGGGTTGACGATGCTGTAGAGGCATCTGCAGACTTTAATGGATCAGGGGACCCCCCCACCCCTTATAGGCTCCTGTAGCTGGAGTTTTCTCCAGTCCTGCCTGGCCCAGTCAGGACAAATCTCTATCACCTGCCAGTCCCACAGCCGCTTAGACCCAACCGAGTAAACACACAGAGACTTATATTGCTTACAAACTGTATGGCCACAGCAGGCTTCTTGTTATCTAGTTCTTATATCTTAAAATAACCCTTATCTATTAGTCTATAAGCTGCCACGTGGCTCGTGGCTTACCGGTACCTTACATCTTGCTTTTAATGGTGGCAGCTGGCAGTGTCTCTCTGACTCAGCCTTCCACTTCCCAGAATTCTCCTCTCTGCTTGTCCCGCCTATACTTCCTGCCTGGCTACTGGCCAATCAGCATTTTATTTATACAGAGCCATATCCACAGCAGGCTCCACTCTTCCTGTGGACAAGCTCCGGTCTGTCTTCCTGAAGCCCCTTCCTTTCTTTAAAGCCATAGGCTGGCCTGGTGAGCACACACTCGGCACTGGAATGAGCCTGATGTGAACTGAACCCTGAACTTTGTTCTGACCTCTGACCCTGCTCAGCCTGAGGCCTTGGTAGTGGGCATCAGTGGGCATCAGGGCAGTGAATGCCCTGCCCTTGGATAATCAAGCTTGTTGTGCTGGGAGAATAAGGCCCAGCGATGTCCTTGCAGAGGCTGCCATGAGCTGGTGTGTCATGAACCTCACATTCTAGTCCCCAGAAAGTGCAGGATGAAGATGGGACCTGGGTGTTAGATCACCGGACCAAGGAAGTCTGGGTCCTGAGCATCCCCAGCAGTGGACTCTGAGTGACTGTGACTTGGGTTACAGTGAGGACCAACTGAGGACATTAATGGGCGAAACCCTGACATCTGTCAAATGTTCCCATCTGTCAGGTTCTCCCCAGCAGGAATGCCTGTGGCTACTGAGGTCCCTGTCCCTGTCACCTCAGACCTGCTGGCCAGAGTGCTTGGGTTGGTCCCCAGATGAGGAAACTGAGGGTCACAGGTGCAACACCACCCCCCACAAGTCAGTCAGTCTGTCTAGTGTTTCTGTCTCTGTCTCCCAGGGCACAGCATGGATCCTGGCCTGGCCGGTCTGCTGGGACAACAAGCACCACAATCCAGACAGCCTTTCCTGGTCACCTTCTTCAGGGCCAGCCCGAGTCCTGTGCGGGCCCCGCGGGCAGCGAGGCCACTGAAGAGGAGGCAGCCAAAGAAAACGAACGAGCTTCCACATCCCAATAAACTCCCGGGGATCTTTGGTGAGGGTGGGGTTGAGCCTCCCTCCTCTGAGGAAAGTGGTGGCCTGTGAATCTCATTGGTGTGCCTACAGGGAGAGTGGGCTGTGCCTGGCAGGGAGGGTGGGCTGTGCCTACAGGGAGGGTGGGCTGTGCCTGGCAGGGAGGGTGGGCTGTGCCTACAGGGAGAGTGGGCTGTGCCTGGCAGGGAGGGTGGGCTGTGCCTACAGGGAGGGTGGGCTGTGCCTGGCAGGGAGGGTGGGCTGTGCCTGGCAGGAAGGGTGGGCTGCAATCAAGAGTCCTCAGAGGAAAGCAGAAGCCGAGTGTGCCCAGAGCACAGCCACACCCTGTGGTGATGGGGAGCCATTGAGGACTGTTGAGCTGGGTCATGGCATGAGCAGGGATCCAGAAGTGGAGCTTGTGATCCCAACGGTTCAGTTTCCTGTTGTCCTTCATTTTTTTTTTTTTTTTTTTTTTTTGGTTTTTCGAGACAGGGTTTCTCTGTGTAGCTTTGCGCCTTTCCTGGAACTCACTTGGTAGCCCAGGCTGGCCTCGAACTCACAGAGATCCGCCTGGCTCTGCCTCCCGAGTGCTGGGATTAAAGGCGTGCGCCACCACCGCCCGGCTTTGTCCTTCATTTTTAAATGTGTCTGTCATGCCCCCCCCCCCACGGGAGTACCATGGCAACTCCGTAGAGCAGGACCCCTGAGGAGACTTTGCACCTTTCTGTCCTGCAGATGGTCATGGCGCCCGAGGCAGAGATGTTTGCCGTAGGCATGAGCTCTACGTCAGCTTCCGGGACCTCGGCTGGCTGGTAATTTCTGCCTCTCCTCTCAGAATGCCACCTGCAGAGCCTGGGGTCTCCAGGGTGGAGGTGGAGCTACTGTGCCTTTAGTGTGCATGAAAGCTGTGAAAACAGAGGCAACCTGAGACCTCTGCCCAGTAAACTGTCAACACAACAGAGAAACTGAGGCAGGGCCTTTGGGCTCTTCCTGCTACAGCTGCTGCAGGAGGCATGGGGGCAGCTGTGGAGGAGACAGCAGAGGAGGGTGAGGTGTGGAGGACAGAGCTGGGGTCCAGCCCTGCCTGCTGAGGGTCACTGAGGGGGATGAGGGTTCACAGGCACAGGTCATCCTGTGACAGGACCTATGATGATGGTCTATGGAAGGACACTGATGTGACTCACCTTTCCCCACCCACAGGACTGGGTCATCGCCCCCCAGGGCTACTCAGCCTATTACTGCGAGGGGGAGTGTGCCTTCCCACTGGACTCGTGTATGAATGCCACCAACCATGCCATCTTACAGTCCTTGGTGAGTACCACAGTGGCCAGCTGGGACCCAGGGGGCAGGGGCAGGGCGGGCCAGGGCAGGTGGTGGTAAGATTGGCAGCAGAGGGACTTTCTGCAGACTCAGCTACAGAGTTTGATTCCTGAACCTCAGTAAGAGTTGATGTTCTCATGAGCATCTGTGTGCAGACACTTGAGCACACATGCACTGCACATGCCCAAGTGGGAGCTGTGAACCTGTGTGGGGCCCACATTGACCTACCACAGCCCCTGTGGTCACGCTGGGGTAAAGCAAGAGATCCACAGGAGTCTGCTTAAGGAGTATTTGGGAATTTATTAGGATATAAATTGAGGAAATACACTCATGAATACAGAACCGAGTAGACAGCTGAAGTTATCCTCTGATCTGACTGGGAGTGAATCTACCCGGCAGTTCAGTCACACCAGGAAGCAGGAAGCAGGGAGACGGGCCCTCGTGACCCCCTCTCCCTTAACTTTGTTTTGTTTTGTTTTGTTTTGTTTTGTTTTTCGAGACAGGGTTTCTCTGTGTAGCTTTGCGCCTTTCCTGGATCTCACTCTGTAGACCAGGCTGGCCTCGAACTCACAGAGATCCGCCTGCCTCTGCCTCCCGAGTGCTGGGATTAAAGGCGTGCGCCACCACCGCCCGGCGCTCTCCCTTAACTTTTAAGAGGTCACACACAAAGGCAAGAAGCAGGCCTCTTCGGGTCCTATAGCCCAAGGTCATGGGCGGAGCAAATACCACTACACTGGGCACACACACAACAGATGGGCACCCATGGCGCCTGCGTGACCTCAGTGCACAAGTGCCCAGTGGACAGGGTGGATGTGCCCTCTCTGGTGTGCGTGTGTGCTCATCCATCCTGCCTCGCCCGTGGATCTCCCCTTGGGCTCTCTGCTCTTCTGGGCCTTGGCTGGTTCCTGATGCCTTTCCCTCATATATCCCAGGCTGGAGTCAGGCTCAGTATGTAACCAAGGGTGACTTTGAACGTCTGCTACCCCTGCCTCCAGTCCCGGGCGCCGGGATTATATGTGTGCGGTATTATGCCTACTTTATATGATGTGGGTCAAATCCACAGCTTCCTGCATGCTAAACAGGCACACAGCCAACTGAGATCCGTCCAGAGCCCTGCCCCTGCCGCTGGCTCTTGACCCCATTTCTTTCCTGACTCTTCCTCGGGGGTAGCACTGGTAGCCTTAGATTCTGGGCCATCCTCAGCGGCGGGAGCAGGTTCTAGCAGGACACCACCACAGCCTGTATTGACAGGCGTTTGTACTTGCTGACTCTGATGTCAAGACCTTGTTCTGGAATGTTTTTCCTGGAATCCTGGTGTCCCACGGTTTTGTGTTTATCTAGCAAGAGACTATGCCAAGTGAATGATGCCCTGGAGTGAGCATCATGAATTAAAAAGAGCCGTTTGAGCTGACACGAGGCATCCTTTCACCATGGCCACCGCATTTGCTGGAGCCTGAGAGGAGCAGCCCGGGGTGACAGTGAGACAGGCAGTCAGCAGTTCCCTGGTGGGGTGGGTAGCCCTGCTCCTCCCAGGCCTTGTCTCCTCCCCCACTTTGCTCTGGCCTCTGTTTCCCCCGTTGACAGTGGCTTGACTCCAGTAAGTGCTCATGACCTGCCGGCAGCGGCAGACGGGACAATCTCTGTCCCCTGGGGAGGCTGGAGTGAGAACACAAGCAAAGCCACAGGGAGCGAGAGGGGGACCATGGGTTCCAGGTTAACGTGGCCCATTGATGGTGGAGGGAACCTGGTGTGGGCTTCCGCATCAGGAGCATCCGGGGCAGCAACAGAAAGAGGAAAGTCAAGCCCGGCTGTCTGGTGGTGTAATCCCAGTACTCAGGAGGCAGAGGCAGGTGGATCTTTGTGAGTTCGAGGCCAGCCTGGTCTACCAATCAGGTCTACATAGCAAGTTCCATAACAGCCAGGACTACATAGTAAGACCCTGTCTCAAAAAAGAAAAAGAGAGAGAGAGAGAGAGAGAGAGAGAGAGAGAGAGAGAGAGAGAGAGAGAGAGAGAGAGAGAGATGGCTATATGGATGATATATGGATGAACACCTATTTCAAGGATAGCGGCACCGTCAGCCAGCCAGTGGGAACCCCATGCAGGCTTGATGTATCACCTACAAAGACAGCCTTGCCTCAGAAGTTCTGAGGCTGGGTCACAAGTGGGACAGAGTTCTAGAACTTAAGCATTGGTCCCGTGTGAGTTTCTAACTCAGTTTGCAGAGTGTCACACACACACACACACACACACACACACACACACACACACACACACACCTGTCGGGGATGTAGTAAAGTGCAGAGAAGTGTGGGGCAGTGAGATTCCAGAGGAGGCACCTCAGAGGGCACACACCCATGGGTACCCAGTGCTGGGGACAAGCAAAGTTGTCTTCTGTGTCTGGGCAGACGCGAACGTGACAGTGGAGCAGGACCGAGAGTGTCGATGGGTTTGTGAATCAGTCCCTCCAAGCCAGGTGCCTGGGCTGTGCTCTGAGGTCAGTGGGCAGGCCACATGTACAGAGAGGGGATGCTCTAGCCAAAGGTGGAGAATGACTTTTGCCCGGTCAGAGGGGCTGAGACCTTCTGGAAAGGAAGCACGTGAGGGCGGGTCTTTGCTGGGCAGGTCTTTATGCTCCTGCCTGCATCCCCTCTCCCCTCCCTCCCTCCCTGTCAGGTACACCTGATGAAACCAGACGTCGTCCCCAAGGCATGCTGCGCGCCCACCAAACTGAGTGCCACCTCTGTGCTCTACTACGACAGCAGCAACAATGTCATCCTACGCAAGCACCGCAACATGGTGGTCAAGGCCTGTGGCTGCCACTGAGGCCCTGCTCAACAGCCTGCTTCTGCTCCCTTACCCGGCTGGTGTGGTCAGGCCCCTTTCCAGAGGCAGGAAACCCTCATATGCTATCATAGCTCAGACAGGGGCAACAGGAGGCCCTTACTTCCCCTGGCCACTTCCTGCTAAAATTTTGGTCCTTTCCCAGCTCCTCTATCCCCTTCTTGGGGTTTGTGGCCTATGGCCCTCCCTCTCCCAGTCCCCCTACCCCAAGCACAGACTGAATGCACACAGCATCCCAGAGCTGTGCTGACTGAGGGTCTGGGGTCAGCACTGAAGACCTACATGAGAGGAAGACTGTTCCTTGGCCATCCCCAGCCCAGAATGGCCGATTCTGGATGGTCTGAGGTGGCCCTGGAGTCTGAAACTGGCTGATCTGGGCTCTGCACCATTCACTGTGGCAGTAGGGGCATGTCTAGGTATAACAGACACACACTTAGATCAGTGCTAGCTCTACTTCTCTCGTGCAGAATTAGCTTGTCAGAAAAAGAATAGGCAGAGGCAGGTGTGGTAATGCATGCCATTAATCCCAGCTCTAGAGAGACAGGGAGGGTCTCTGTGAGTTCAAGGCCACACAGGGAGACCCTGTCTGAAAAAGAAAAGAAAAAGAACCATCTGGTTGGGCTTCATGGCTTTCAGTAAAAGTAAGAGGGACATTTCATGACATGTGTCCTGGGTCTGCCCTTCTGCCTAGAAGCAAAGGACCCTGGGAACTTGCAGTTCCCTCTCCTACCGCTACCATGCTGACCAGTTTGGGGATGGGCACTGTGACAAAGTAAACTCTGAACAGAAGCAAGAACACAGCTGAAGTGGCTGGTCCAGGCTGGCTCACAGGAGATGCCCCTGCTTCTTCTCCTAGCTGATGGCCTGCATCAGTGATCTCCCTCCGAGCGTCTCACACTGCCCCTGGACAGGCCCTCCACATCCTCAGCACAGACCTGCAGATGGCCACCAGCAGCTCCTGAGAGGAAAGGACTTGGCTTTCCTTTTCCTCCAGGAAGACCCATCCATTCCACCCAGGGCACAGTAACTAGACAGCCCTCCAGCCAGGCGTGGGGCAAAAGGGAGGTGTGTCAGCATTTGCTTATGTCTGGGAACTAAGAACAGGTTGGTCACCAAGTTGGCGTCACCCTGGGGGCCCAGCGGCCCTATCCTGTTTCTGGGACCTGTGAGTCAAAGAAAAGGCCCCTGTCCCAGGGGACTGACAGGTGGTAATTAGGCAGAGTTGGGTGGGGAGGCTCGGAAACCACTGTTCCCCCTGGAGCAGCCGCTGGGAGCTGGAGTGTTTATTTGATTTCTGACTTGCTAAAGCCTGTAATTTACCTGCGGGAACAGAGTCCAGCTGCCCAAACTGTGTCATTAAGAGCAGGTCCTGGGCCCATCCCCATCTAGAGACACACCCAGCGGAGGTGGACCCACCCAGGTGCCCAGGGATGCACTCCATGGAGTTCACACTCTGTACCCCTGAATGGGCCTCCGGGAGGGTGGGACCAGCGGCCAGAGTGAGGCTGAGGTTGGAGGGAGTGAGACTGGGGCCATGCTGCAGGACAGCAGCCTCTCCCTCCCCTTCGACCTGGGAGGGTTTCCTGTGTGGGGCCAGAGGGGGGGACCCTTCCATGTATACAAAGAATGAGCCCAGAAGATCTGCAAGATGGTAACTTCCCCAAGAGCTTCACTGGCTGCTCTTCCAGAGGACCAGGATTCAATTCCCAGCACCCACATGGCAGCTTACAATGGTCTGTAACTCCAGTTTCAGAGGATCCAATGCCCTCTTCTGACTTCCAATGGCTCCTGCACACATGTGGTGCACAGACATACATGCAGGCAAAACACTCATGTACATAAGAATAAAAGTAAATAAATCTTTAAAAAAAACAAAAAAAAAGCTTCGGGGCTTCGAACAAAGGCTGCCTGGGATTGCACAAGGCCTTAGCCTGAACTTCAGGACACTGACTTGCTTAGTGTCTGGACAAACGACCTTTCTTACCCAAGCTTAAATCTCCCATCTGTAACACGAAGCTGGCTTTCTGTTATTGTAACAAAATGCCGGAGACAATCAATTTGAAGCAGGAAAAGGTTTCTCTTGACTCACAGCTTCAGAGGTTTGTGGTTAGCTGGCCCCACCGCTTTTGGCTGGTGGGGAGGCAACAAATTGTGGCACAGAGCAGGGCGGGACGAAGCCACTCATCCCATGATGGACAGGAAGCTGAAGAAAGGAAAAAGTAGATGAGTCCCAGACGCTCCTTCAATGACACCTGCCCCGTGACCAGAAAAACCTCCTCCTTAGACGCAGCTGCCTCCAGCTCCTGAGCCTGGGACTAAGCCTCGGGTCCCCAGGCTGTTGGGGATATCCCAGATCTAAATTGGAGCAGTTTTTTGTTTTTGTTTTTGTTTTTCATTCCATAGTTCTTCCTGCCAGGGGACCTGTCTGCCTCCTTGGCCATTTCCTCTCAAAGGCTTGGCCATGGGACTCACAACCTTATCCGGCGAACCTTCCTGAACCAAGTAGGAGGTAGAGCCATCAATGTTTAGCATCTAGCCTGGCTTCGTCAGGAGCACCCATGTTTGTGAAATGAATGTTTGAAAGATGCCGCCTCTGTACTGCCACGATGTAGAGCAGGAGCATGGGGCCACTGTGTGACTTCCTCCCACAGCAAAGCAAACGCCTGGCGATCACAGCCTCCCAGTGCCCCAACATCTGACACCATCAGCCAACCAGGCAGTCGTGGATGGCACCAAATGGAAAGATCTTAGAGAAGAGAGAGACATAGCACCTGGGACATCAGCATTGTCACCAAGACCATCTGGTTTAATGGTGATCTCTGACCACCCAGGTCACACGTTAGAAGCAAAAATGACCTTCACTGAAGGCCCCTAGGGGCAAAAATAAGAAAACACCACAGGACACAAAAGCAGGGCTGCCTGTGTGGGGGACAGACCCTCATGACATCATCACGGCTGCAGCCCAGCACATCTGGATGTCGGCTGGGTACAGTGCTGTACCCGTGTCCAGATGCAGCAATATAGGAGACACACTGTGGAGAAACTCCCTACAGTTTACAGGAGGAGAGGGAGAGGGCACAGGTTTGGAGTGGAGCAGAACAGAGCTGCCATCAAGTCCTGGCCCTGGCTCTGTGACTCTGACCCCTGCCCAGGCCTCAGTGCTAACCCAGGCCCTTTGGGTGCTGGGTTAGACCTGCCCTTGTGAGCCCCCTCACCCAAGGCTCAGATGTGCTCAGAGCCCTCAGCACTGGCCACTTGTGGAGGTGTATGTAGATAGTCAGTCTCTCTCTCTCTCTCTCTCTCTCTCTCTCTCTCTCTCTCTCTCTCTCTCTCTCTCTCTCTCTCTCTCTCTCTCTCTCTCTCTCTCTCTCTCTCTCTCTCTCTCTCTCTCCTCTCTCTCCTCTCTCCTCTCTCTCCCTCCCTCCCTCCTTACTCTCTCACTCGGTTTTTTGAGACAGGGTTTCTCTGTGTAGCCCTGGATGTTCTGGAACTCACTCTGTAACCCAGGCTGGTCTCGAACTCACAGAGATCTGCCTGCCTCTGCCTCCTGGATTAAAGGTGTGCGCCTCCACCACCCGACTGATAGTATCTCATTTTAAATGGACTTGGCAGTGCGGCCTGGGCCAGCCTTCCTAGCAATGCCATCTTCTCCCAGAATGTACCCCTGCTGTTGCCGTATTGAACAAATACAAATACAAACTCCGTGAGTTCGAGGCCAGCCTGGTCTACAGAGTAAGTTCCAGGACAGCCAAGGCTACATGGCTTTGTTATGCTTACCCCAAACCATCTCCGAGTGAGTGCTGGCCCTGCACCTTGCCCACCTGTGAGAAGGGCCAAGCTGCAGCACTAGGGTCTCTAGGGTGGAGACATGGTAGGTGTGGCCCTAACCTGTGGCCCGCTAGTGGTCATGTGCCAACTCTGTCCTTGAGGGCGAAGTCTTTCTTCTTACTGGGGGGGGGGGGGAGCTCAAGCAGACATTTGGCCTTTAAAAAAATTCGTGTGGTGGCGCACGCCTTTAATCTCAGCACTAGGGAGGCAGAGGCAGGAGGGTCTCTGTGAGTTCGAGGCCAGCCTTGTCTACAGAATGAGTTCTAGTACAGTCAAGGCCTTTACACAAAGAAACCCTGTCTCAAAAAAAAAAACTTCTTTATGTAGGAAACTTACATATATACTGGGGAATGTTTTTTAAATTAATTTTAAATTTAAAACTTAAAGAATAGACTATAAGTCCCGTAATTCCACCGTCTAGCTGACCAGGGTGAATAGTCCTCCTGGTTTCTTCCTGGAGCCTGTGTACACACGTCCGCACGGGCTATGTGGGTAACTTAGGAAGTTAGAGTTGTACTGTACACTGCTGATGAACTGATTCAGTATCTAATGGGCTTTAAAACTTTGTGATATTAAATATTTTTGAAAACAAATTTGAACAGTAGTCTGTCTATGTCTTGATTTCTGCCCCCTCTCCACAGGACAGGCTCCTCAGCGGGCAGCGGGTGCCTCACTGAGCATGGTCTCAAGATTGGCCCACAGCCAGGCAGTGGTGGCGCACACCTTTAATCCCAGCACTCTGGAGGCAGAGGCAGGAGGACCTCTGTAAGTTTGAGGCCAGCCTGGTCTACAGAGTAAATTCCAGGACAGCCAAGGCTACATACACAGAGAACAGAAACCCTGTCTCAAAAAAAAAAAAACAAAAAAAAAAAACAAACCAAAACCAGGTCGCCAGGTCCTGCTGGGCTCTAAATCAATGAACACGGCCCAAGTCAACCTAATGTCAGTGTACCAACATGGGCTGCTCTGGAGCCACCAAGGCCAGGGCAGCAGGCTTCTCTCCTCCCCTCCAGGTTTATCCCGGGACCCCAGATGAGAACACATCCTGAGAGCAACAGCCCCATCCACAGGCTCTTGATTTCAAAACAGACACTGGATCAGGTGGCCGCTAGTGGGGACGAGGGTCCCTGGTGACTGCTGGGGCTCAGCCTCTCCACACGAGATGCCATAGCGCATGGCTAGTAGGGAGTGAGGCCAGCCTCCCGCAGGCTGCCGTTTCCAGGCAGGACTTGGGAGGGGTGGTGGGGAACAAATCTGGCTTGTGTATGTTTGATGGGTTCCGAAAGGGACCTGCATATCCCATGGGAGAAACATTCTGTCGTGGCGTCAGGGGGTGAAGGAGGAGAGGACACATTGTGAGACTGACTAGAGACAGCCATTAGCTACAGTACCAGTATGCGAGAGCAGAAACCGGCCTGGCCAACCTGGTCCCCTGTCTGGCCAGCAGGAAAACAGAGAAGCATTTCTGCCCAGTTTTGATGTCAACCTTCCAGCACTGAGCACGTAGGGGAGGGGTCTCCCCAAAGTCTCAGCCTCAGGAAGGTTAGGTCTGTCCCAGCTGCCACCTCGGGGACCTAGCTGGAGGTCACTACAAAACCCAGGGGTTATCAAAAACAAACGACAAACACTGCTCAGGAGCCACAGATGGCCAAGACAGGTTGTGGCAGTCCACGCCTGGGAAAGCCAATGGCTAGGCACAGCTGCCCGTGGTAAGGAGGGGGACTCTTGTATTGGCTCCCAGGCCCCAGCTACCCCTGGGAAAGTGCCCAGAGCGTGACAGGCCAGGCTGTACTTTGCAGGAACTGTTCCTGAGGAAGCCAAAGGGTTCAGGCCCATGCCAGCTTGCTTCACCCCCAGCCCCAGCGCTCACGAGGAGGCTACCTCCTCCTTCCCGATCTCAGTGTCAAAAGCAGAGAAGAGAGAGCACAGTCTCCTCACCTGTGCCAGGCAGCTGTGGCCACCTGCTTTGGCTTCCTATGCTTGTGGCTCTGGGCCTTGACGGCAGAGCAGAGAAATCAGGGGTCAAAGAGAAAGAAAGCGTGAGGGGCTGAAAGCCTCAGGGATCCCCATCCACACTCGGAATCTGACTACAGAGAGCCCTGTCTAGACCTTGCACAAGGCTTCTAGCCAGAGCAGGGGCAGGGTGACCAGTTCAACCTGCTTCAAGATAGTGGGGCCTTTGGGCCTCCCCAGACACCCAGAGCTCACTACCCAGTCGGTCTGCTTTGCATAAGTCGGGAAGAACTGGCAGCCACTGGTGTCTGGGCCCAGCTGACCTCGGAGAGGCTTGGGAGGAATAAGCGCGGTCTCCCTGCACTCTGCTCCCGGTCCTTAAAGCATGTCTGTCTGCACGGCCCTCTGGCGGCTGGCTCAGGCTCTGGGATGCATTAGCCTCACCTGGTCCTTCCCTCGGCGGTGAAGCAGGCTAAGGAGGGTGGTTTTGATCTTTTAACACTGGTTTCTCTTCTTATTTATTCAGCAAATACCAGCTATGTGGACCTCCCGTGGAGGTCCCAACCATGGGGAAACGTAACCTAGTGGGGAAGGGTCACCCCAAAGATGACTGTAGAGAGCCTGGGGTACAGTGCCCGCGCTGCAAGCATGGGGGGATGGAGTCTGAATCTCCAGTACCTGTGTAGGAAGTCGGACACGTCTGCAACCTCAGCACTGGGTAAGGGGTGGAGATGGGGAGCCCCGAGAGCTGGATGAAATGGAGAGCTGCGGGTTCGGGGAGAGGCGCTGCCCAGGGAGACACCAAACATCCTTCTCTGCCCTTGGGAAGCTGAAGGATCGGCTGTTACAAGACCATTCTCAGCTACATAGCGAGTTTGAAGCCAGTCTGGGGTTCACGAAACTGCCTCCAAACAAAATGCCGAGGTCTGCCAGGACGGCTCAGAGGCTGAAACACCTGCTGAGTCTGATGACATGAGTTCTTTCCCCGGCACCCATATAAAGGTGCCAGGAAAGAGCTGGCATCATGACATGTGTGCCCCACATCACACACACAATAGTTAACAGGTGAAAATTTTATTTATTTATTTATTTTTTTCGA